TCAGACAGACCTTTGGGACCTCAGGGACAGAAAGACAGGTAAGGAAGGAGGAGCATTTCCGTAAATGTTTTAAACTAAACTTGCACATATATGCAGGAATAAGATCTGATCGTAAACTCTGTCTGATTGTTTTTTCGTATGTGTGTTCAACAGTACCTAAACACAGTCATCCCATATGAGAAAAAAGGGACTCCTCCATCTGTGGATGACTTGCAAATGCTCACAAAAAGTAAGAGTACTGCACTAATGGCATTAAAACTGAGTCAAAGTGAAACCGACTTTTCTGTAGAAATCTCCATAATATTTCAAGTTTATTTTATTTAAGATTTGCTAATATTGATTGATTTAATCCTTAAAATCAAACAATAACAAATGTAGGCTATCAAAGGAAAACAAATAGTGACCATTATTTCAACTGGTATTGTTTTTCAGTTCTTTATGCCATGAAAGAAGACAGTGAGAAGGTCCCGACCCTCCTGACTGACTATATACTAAAAGGTAAATCTAAACCTTTTTTCACCATAATTAAAATAACTTTTAAAAATAATTTTGTATAAGTATATTTCTATCTCAATTTAATTAAATAACTGGATTCACAGAATATCACGGTTCACCAGCTCTAAATATTCCCATAAATAACGCGCCTGCATTATTTTAGTATCATTGAGTTTTTATTGATATTTTGAATTTGTTTTCATTTTTATTTTCATTGTTTTTGTTTAAGTGTTAGTAATTTTGTTGTGTGTTTTTGTGATTTTTATTCGTTATTTATTTTGCTTTTTATATGTCTATATAGTATTTATTCATTTTAATTTAATTTTATTTCAGATCAAGTTTATTTTAAATTATGGTTTTAGGTTTAATTAACTATAATATAGTTATATAGTACAGTATATAAATGTATATGAACTACATACACAGCATTGAGACCATTAACACATTATCACGTCTCCATCCTGCAGTTCTGTGTCCTACCTAAAGTCCTGAGCGTGATGTGCTGATGGTGAGACTCTGGAGAGGTCAGGTGTCTTCGTTCGTCCTCTCTCAGTTCTCAAGCCCAGCTGCATGAGCTCCCTTATCCAGTATCAGCGAGGGACCCTGAACATCTAACCATCCTTCTCTTGCTTATCTAATGACCTTTGACCTTGCTCATCTCACTGCCCTTCCTGTATTCACATATCCATGAGGTTCACACCACAGCGCCTGGTGCTTTACATGTTTTCTATTACGTGCGTTACTACGGGCCAAAAGCCATATGAAACGTGTAAGGGTAACAGGTGAACTATAATCAGTTTAACTCTACGATCAGGTAATATTTTTATTTTTATTTTTAAATATATGCCTAACATAAGGTATTTTACATACTACTCAATCATTCACATCCGTTCTAAACACAGGTGACGATGAGAAGGGCATTATTCACAATCTTCTTAAGGTAGATCCATTGATTCGAGAGCACATTTGAAAATAATCCATCCATACTTGCCGTTTTAGTATTGTGGCTTCATTTCAGCCAAGGTTGGTTGAAAATACAGCATGTTTTAGTGTT